AGCTGAACACGTCAGGCACTAATTCACATACTTTACACTCTTAATGATCAATGATGATGATCTTTCTGATTCGGGTGTTTCAAGCAACTTCAAAATTTCATTGAATTTTGGGCCGAGTAGCTCAAAATGTGTCCCCTACCTTTGTCGTGCTTGTGTGTCCCCGACGTCAGATCTCAGATCATACACTTGCAGGTGTTGATGGTCGGCTGTTTCTCGATGTACGTCAACAAAAAGACTGATGGCTGACTTGCATAAACCGTAGAATATAAAGGTAGCATTGTAGAAGGAAAGAGCACTGCCAATATCAGTATCAAAGTCACAGTGGCAGCATTGAAAGAAAAAATCAAGAGCCAACTGGTGATTGTAAGCGGCTTGCCCTACTTTATACTGCATTGAAGTGCCACCTGATAATACTCATACTATAATACTCTGATTTATGTAGGTTAAAATACACGTTCCTTTAGGGCACTCCTTTTGAGTGCCGTGGTCTCGTGGTCTGGAGCATTGAATTCGTGGTCTACCGGTAATTCTGCAGGTTGTGGGTTCGAGTCCAGCCTGCGGCTATAGTAATTGTGCGTGCATCAGCCCTTAGGCAAGGCACTTTGTCACCCATTGCTCCTCTCCGCCCAGGAGTAAATGGGTACCTGGGAGGACAGAGATGGTTATTGTGATTGATTGCGCCGAAATGGGGCTAAACGTTATTATGGTTTGATAGGTGATAAATCGCCGCAGCGATAATCCGTCAACCAATATCACCCATGGACCAGTCGTTGTTCTTGCTATGTTATGCGATGCCATTGAATAATCAAATATCCGGTTAGCTTAATAAAAAACAGCTTAAGCTAAATAGTAAAAGGTGCTGAGAATCGAATGATACTCATATCGCGTGGCTCCCGAGAGCAGCAACTTGGTCGGCTTGGTAGAGGAGAAATACTAAGTGGCCTTTCAATGTGGAAAGGGGGACGAATACAAGGCTTTCATGAGATTGAAGCGGCCCTGAACAGTTGCGTCACTTTAAAGCCAAAGTCACGATGGATCCAAATTAGTTTCGATGAAAGTGTCATCTATACTTATAAAACGAATAACGTGTCTACTTCTGAGCTATCACATAACTAACTTGCAAGTCATAATTATCGTCGGTCATGAAATGTTGAATGTAAATGCAACTTTATAAAAGAAACAATGGATGAAATTACCCTGGAGTGAGGTAAAAAAGGGATCAAATTTGTTAGGACAGATGGTGCGTTTTTCATGGGCATTATATGAACTTCTCCACAAAGTTGTCCAGTGGCGTATATGCAGGCCTGTATGCTTCGGGCATGATCCCTGATTGTATGGAATACTGGTTTATGGCTTCTGACTGGCGCCCCTTGAACACAGATATTGGGTCGTACGTATAAAAACAAGCATTTGTTTTTTATACTACTATTTTTTTTTTTTAGCATTTAGGCCTACTTGCAATTGTATAATAAAAATGAAGCAAAATGCTTTTACTGGAAAGTATTTACTGAAAGCTAAAAGTATTTACTTTTTACTTGTTAGCTTTTGATAGACTAGATTAGTGTTTACTTAATTTTGCATGAATAAAAAGGATTAAGTGCTTCAGATTTCAAGCATTTACTAGGCATTTTTCAAGGCTGCGTTGGGGGCAACCTTGAAAATATAAAGAAAACATTCTGCCCCCAAATTACTGCATTAAATTTAATCGCGCCAAAATTAACACAAAATGTTAATAAACAATATATAAAACCATACACGGTATTTTCAATAACATTTATGCGAAAATTTAAATATTTTTGTAGTATAGGTTTTCCCGGCCAATTTCGTGAAATGTTCATTCACTTCTGAAAATCGGTCATTCGTATTCTATTGAATTCGAATGCATGTCTTTAATCCCATTTCAATTCAACGATAGTTTAATCGTTTTCAATGTCCTTGCATTCGGTTATCAGAAACAGACGGTCAATGTGCATTCATTTACGCAAGTATACCTTTTCGCGCAGAGTTCTGGAATACAATTTCGTGAATGTGCAATCAAAAGTACGTTTTTCGCATTCAAAATGGCAGATTACATCACAGAATTCCAAACCTGATACCAAAAAGTGAAATAGAATGGGGAATGTTTGAAATCGCCCTCTAAAAGCGAAATAGAAATCTTGTAAACGAATCTGAATGGACATAAAAGGTGCTGCTAATGGAATCGAATGCTCTGGTAGCGAAAATGAAACGCGTGTTCAGAGCGATTCTCAAATTCTTACGAAAATGAATGACCGATTTTCAAAAGTGAATGAACATTAATTGGCCAGGAAAACCTATATTAATTTCACTAGAAACGATAATTTCGCATTTTGTTCGCGATATGAGAAGCGTAAAATTCAGTGCGGCATAGAAATGAATGATTAAGGAGAAATTCCATACAATGGCACCCTGGGGACTGAACAAAATGAAAGCAGTTTTTAGTTTATTAGGTCACTAATCTTTGCAAACTATTGTAGACCTTCACAATTTTCATGAATGATGAATTCAAAGTACATTTTTCTGTGTTCTGCAACTGGCGAAAGGTTACTCATTTTTTATGGATTTGAAAATCCAAATAATGTACTACTACATGTACTGTATGCGTCACCTTGACTTGGACTATTACCCTACTTGTGTGTGTGGTAGTTCGTACACACAAAAGAGACCCTATTGTTGACAATCATTCGTCCATGAAGACAATCCAACAGTACCTGCTACCATGGGCGTCGCAAGGGTTTTTTCTAGAGGGGGGCAAAAAATTTTTTTGCCAAAAAATGCTTGTATTTCTCAACACATTCTCGATTTATCAGTTTTAGAGGGGGGCAGGGACATTTTGCCCCCCCCCCAACTCATTAAATTTACACCACTTTGTCTTCGCGCCTCTTTTTCTTTTTTTTTCTTTTCTTTTTTTCTTCCTTTTTTTTCTTCCTTTTTTTTTTTTTTGCTTTTCCAGGGGGGGGGCAAGTGCCCCCCCCCCCTTGCCCCCCCCTCGCGACGCCCATGCCTGCTACCTTTTGCTGAACAGTTAAGGAACACTTTTATTCATATGGAATCAAGCATTTGCTTTTCCTTAATGCCTATACTCCAAAGTAAATGCTTTCACATTTTGCTTTAATAAACGTCCTAGCATTTGCTAGTTTTTATGCACACGACCCAATGACTATTTGGGGAACCGCCAACATAGGGCTGGATAGCTCAGTTGGTAGAGCACCGGAACGCTTTGACTTCGCAAGTTCAAGCCCCGCTCCAGTCAATTTCTTCGTTCAACTTTCCAATTGTTATAATTTACCTAGTCAGTTTTCTACCAGACCAGTTTTTTTAACACGACCGAAAACGGGCGGGATCCACATGCAGTGTCCCATTTCTGAAAAATGCCTGAAGTTTACCGAATACATTTCGTTGACAGTCGGATATGTTCGCAAAAGTTCTGGTCCCCGGGCGAAGAATGTCTCATAAGCCTGTCATGCCTGTGGTTAGTTTAGAATATTTTCAGTTCATAATTCACTGCTTGCCTTTAAAATTTCAATGCTGGGCGTACTACTTATGTTTTGTTTTATATGTTCATTTGACGCTCGACAGACGAAGTAGCATTTAAACCGCGAGGTTATCAGTGCTAAGCCATTGCAGGCATTGAGGACTTTCTCTTGTTTCAATCCTCTTAGAAAATATTCGAAACAAAATGCAGAATGTGTGGGTTTGTGGTTCAGAGGTACCTTTGTTAACATTGTTGACTGCGGACATGGGCGTAAATCCCGTGGGTTGGGGTGATAAATACCCAAAACTTTTTGACCGCGGAGATGGGTAATTGGATCATGACGAGTCATTGGATCCAGATTTTTGGTAATCCCCCATATCCCCCACCCCAACCTCGTCCCCAGTGCTTACTTTATTTCCAACCTGGTTTCCTATAGTAAACCCTGGATAGGAAACTTTCTTCCTGTATCCTGATTCGATACCGCAATTGGCTAGAAATGGATTTATATCGTGTACTTGGTGGTGTTATTCACAACGTGCAGTACGTATTTTCGCAATCATTCGTCCACGCCTTCTTTAAAATATTCATTTCCTTTCCAATTTGTTCTTATTAATATGAAATGTGATACTGCATGTTGTCTCGTTAAGATCGTAACAGTTTAATTAAAATACAATCGTATTTTCGTAACTCATGCCATGCTCGCGCAACGACGAATTGATTCTGTTTTTACCCCCGACACCGCATACAAAAACAAATGCAAATATAACACACAGGAAAGCACCAGACTATTCCTCATTTGCATACGTGTTCAAAAATCTTGCACATGCAAATGATCCAATACCAGGGTGCGATAGCAGGTAGTGGAGGGCGCGTACTGCTCAAACCCTGGGGACGAGGTTGCCGCCCCCCCCCCCCCACCCACCCTCCTCGCCTGACTGCGGAGTCCATGTCAGCCGTTCTAACCACATAATTGATTTTACGGAGGTCCGGTGAAAAAAAAACCCTGTCAATCCTCCAACACGGATGAAATGGATCTGAGACCTAATGACCTGAGAACTAATCGGAGCGAAGTCGGGACGCCAGACGAGGTAGGGACCGTCTACCATATCAGAAAGCGCACATTGTAAACAAAGCATGGACTCATGGGCGTCGCCAGGATTTTTTGTAGAGGGGGCAAAGCACATTTTCCCCCCAAAATCCCTATAATTTCCAACAATTTCCCGATTTGTCATTTTTTCGAGGGTGACCCCCCCCCACCAAATTAACAACAATATGATTTCGCGCCTCTTTGCTCCCCCCCTTTTTCTCTCTTTTTTGGGTTGCTTGTCCAGAGGGGGGCAAGCGCCACTCCCCTTGCCACCCCCCCCCCTCGCGATGCCCATGAGCGTGGTGTCATTAGGCCTATTGAACAACCAGCAACCCCCATCCCCCAGTCCCCGGCCAAAACCCTGACTATGCCGCTGACAAAGGCAAGGTTGGGGTTGTCGTGATTCAGGTTGACATTCTCATAAACATGTCGACAATTAACGTTCTTTGATAATGAAATCGTACTCTTTTAATGACCTCTTTCCCTTTTAACCCTATTATACCAACACTTCGTTTTAACGGAAGCCATCTTGAAAGGGGGCATGCGTTGCTTTACACATTTTGTAAACTGCGTTGGAACAACAAAGAAGCCAAGGTTGGTGATTATATGATACGCAAAGACTACACATTCGGTGTTTTGCAATTTTACAACAAACACCCGATGCTGTTGTTTGAGGAAGCAGACACGGCAAACACAAATCAAACAAACTCCTTTAGTACACCCGAATAGTCAGTTTCAAAGTTAGAGAAAAACATATCAAGTTGAGGGGGTTTACACTAAATGCGCATCTCTATTCATCGTATTTTAGTCTGTATAATACTACACCAAACGAAAAAAATAACATCATTTAAAAAGAAAAAAATTGAAGTGAACAAAACGTTAAATCGATTATCAATAAAGAAAATACCCTTCACCTTTTTTAAATGTTCACTTTGACTGTGCAGTCATCTGTCTCAAAAAAAAATGTTTCAACGACATTGTAACGATGGCAGATGATCTACTTAAAAGAATTTACAGCAGAAGACCTCTTGCCAATAGGAAGGTCTTGGGGTGTTGGGAAAGTAAGGCTGTGCGGCGGCCTTGTTGAAGCACTCGCACATTGTGTAATTGTTGCATGGCATCATTCTAGCATCCCTCTCGGTGTCTCTGGTCAGACCCCAACGCTCATCTCTGGCGCCCAATTCATACAGCTTCGCCAGCTGCTTCAGGCTGCATAAGACGCCTCCACGACTCTTACAAAAGCTCCTGCCTCCGTTATAATTGAGGTTGTACGCCGACATGCACACCGAGTACACACTTGTGTCCTCATCTGAAGAATGCAAGGAATAGAAAAACTAAAGTTGTCACCGCATGGGTACGGGGGTTTGGTTTATTTGGGGATGTAACAAAACAGTGCACACGTTAGCTATAAAGTAAATGGCACTCGTAATTCTGTTTAGCACACTTGTTAACCTATACCAAGTTTTAACTTTGTGCATTGTACTGTGGTCGATGCGGTCTTAGTGTGCATGACTTTGGGAGACTTGCGATTCGTGGTCCAAAGAACGGATTATACCATCAACTTTAAGATCTGGTGCATAATTGAGGAATATATTCATGTTATTTGACACTGTTTCTGAAAAATGGACGGTTATCTTAGAAGGTGTTGTTTATGAGTAAGTATAACGCACAAAAGATTTCATTCATGCCTGACCATACACCCTGCAAAAAAAAGTCCCATAGAAACTAGTGCTAAATGCGCATACTTTAAAATTCTTTTAAAAATACTCAGAAATCTCACAGGTATTCAAGCTGCACAGAAAAATGATGATCAATGTGTCATCTTTTCATTTTCTTTTCATTTTTTGGTGGGTTGACCATTGACTTTTTCGAGATATTCTCACCCAAAGAAGACGACCCCTATTTTCCCCAAAGCGGAAAAGTAGCCATCTTGAAAAACGATCCCTCCACAACATGGCAAAATACCGCTACTTTCGAGCCCAGTAGCATCCAAAATGCTCAGAATTGGAAGCCCCAAGTCCGGGCCAGAGGTTCATCACCATATCTCTTCAATTCCCCGATTTTATGGGTCTCAAAACTCTCTAATAAGGGTATAACTTGTATTCATGAGCTCGGCGGACGAATTGTTGGCCTATTTACAGGCGTGCACCCATAAGCACTATCCTCCAAGATGGCCGCTACGCACAGGGTCTTTGCAACCAATCGCCTGTGTGTGCTGCCCTCTATTGAAAACGCAGAGTCCAGGATGAGGTAGTTATCAGGTGTTTATTTTCATGGAGTATGTAAAGAGCTTACTGTATGTTGTCCATTGCGGGCAGTTTTTGATCACGGCTTCAGTCTTCAAAGATGTCACGGCAAAAACGGCAAGGAAAACGATGACGGACTTCATCTGAGTGTAAAAATGTTATGCAGAATGGTGCATTAATGACAAGAGCAGGGACGGCGGAATGCTTTTCAAACCGGGGGACACACCAAAAAGGGGCACTTATCCAGAGAAAGGGGCACCTTCCGTCGGTGTGGAAGTGAGAGCCCTACGGCCTCCGCAATGGCGGATTCAGAACACTTTTTTTGGGGGGGGGGGCAAACAATTGTGGTTCTGAAAAAAGTGGGTCCACAAATTCACGGCGAAGGGTTCGGGGCCCGCTTAAGGACTCCGAAAAAAAATGGATTCTAGATGCTCTGTGGTGCGATGTGAGGCAATTTCTGACCATTTTAACCAATTTCTTCTGAGGAAAAGATGGTGGTGCATGTAGTGGCTGCCTGTTTGTGACGTCACTAAAAAGTGACCATTGTCTTTATCACGAGAGGGGCACTGTTGCTGGTGGCCAGCTCAGTGACCATTTTATTTACCTGAGGAGGAGCACTATTATTTCTAAAGGCCAGTTTACATTGTGTCCCTTTGAAAGTCTGGAGGGGGAGTTCCGCCCCCCCCCAGCCCCCCCCCCCCCCCCCCGTTTGCCGCCCCTGGAGGAGAGATCTCACTTTCCCTTATACTAAAATCTGGATATAGGTGTAGGAACGTATCAGGGCGGATATTATGTTTGTCAAGAGAAAACAGGATCTGCAGAGAAACACTTACGAATTTACGGTGCACTAAAAGACGTGCTGTTTAAAGAATTCCGTAAAGTTATTTTGAGGCAAATTGCACAGGTTTGATCTATCTGTCATATAAAACTTCCAGAATTTGATTCCTTGGTTCGATAACTTGCAAGCTGTATACCCTTCTTAAACATGAAATGGACAATTATAGTGTGGGGTTTTTTTGGGGGATAAATTCGCCGTATTTGCGCTCAGTGAACACTCTTGAAAACTTGGGATACTGAAGCATTCATGTTGCACCCAATCTACTTTAAGGTGCGCAATTCATGTATGCTCCCTCTAATCACGGCATGCGTTAATCCACAGACTGTTCAATAATGGTTATAAGCAACTTCAACATAGAATTTTCGGCGATCGTGTAGTGTAGGGCCCCTGTTTTGTTCCGATCAAATTATCGAGTCAAGAGTGTTTTTTATGAATAAAAAAATATATATATTTTCAACCAGAAGCAGACCTCTCTCAATATAATGACACCTTTTCTTGTCATTTTTTAACAGTTTCTTGGGGTAGAAAATAACGATTTTCCTACGCGCTTTACGGTTGGTGCCGTGCGATTCAGCGCGCATTGCGAGCTCACGGTACATCGCGCGGTGTCACCATCTTTATGTTCGTGTTGCGTTTTGTCGTTGTCATCCTCTTTACCCCCAAATTTTCCTCAAAACTTCAAAACCCTGCCCTTTATCTATGACATACCTGTATGTTCTTAATGTCGCCAACTAGTCCGGTAGGTCAAATAATTTAAAAGTGGACGTTGTTCCCTTATAGGAACCGGGCCCGTGGATACACGATCGCCATTCGACACTTTTCGGCCAATAGCCGAAAAAACGTGTCCCCTCCGCTACTGCCTCTGAGTATTTTCCCCCAACGACTACTACCCCTACCTTTGTCGTGCTTTTATGTCCTCGGCATCAAATCTAAGATCACAATTGCAGGTGATGGTGGTCGGCTGTTTCTCTGTCCGAGACGTGCGCAGGACTGATGGCTGGCTTGCATGAACAGTGGAATATAAAGGTAGCTAGCATTGTGAGGAGAAGCCCACTACCCGCATTATACAAACTTAGACTCAGTGGCTGCATCGAAAGCAAGGTCTCAAGGTCCAACTGGCGATTAAGCGGCTTGCGCTACAACAGTGCCACCTGCTTTAATATTGTCGTCGTAAGTCAAACGCCTTATAAGTCCAAAAGTTCGGAATTAAGAGGCGTCGGATAAGCCTTTTCGGAGTTCCTACTGCGCATTCATAACCAGTGACAACGCGCATTGCTTGTCTCAAATGGCCTTTGACATCATCGCGCCACTGACTTTACAAAAAGGCTGTTTGTACATTGTGGGTACTGTCAAAGGGCATTTGAGACAAATAATGTGCGTTGTCACAGGTCACGAATGCGCGCAGTTGAAACTCCGAAAAGGCTTATTTATGAAGCGTTGTATGTATGTGTTCGGCTTCATAGCAAATTGTTAGAAATTGGTACAACCTTAAAAGCCGAAATAAATTACAATTTGATTCAATCATGTAAATCGAGCAGTGAAACGTTCACTGAACTGAGGACCTTTCGAGAAAAGTTAATATAACAGAAAAAAAGACAGTTGTAAACACTTTAGACAATTCTAAACACTTTCTTGCTATCTCCTCATGCTAAACATGTTAAGCACGTGAACATGTTTACAAACTGATAGCAAGAAAGTGTTTCGAATTGTGTTTCGAATTGCACGTTCCTTTACATGGAAGCCCTGTGAATCGGAGTGCCGTGGCCTCGTGGTCTGGAGAATTGAATTCGTGGTCTGCCGGTAGTTCAACAGGCTGTGCGTTCGAGACCAGCCTGCTGCTATGGTGTCTGTGCCCTTAGAAATGTATTGGGAACGTTTCATTCGCCCAATTGGCAGGGTAATAATGATGTAGCGCCTTGAGCACCAATAATGGCTGATGCGTGGGCTTTACAAATACCCATTATTATGACCCCTTTTAATTTGTCTGGGTTTGATTTCCAACCGACCTTATTTTCGACTCCCGACTCGGGAATATTTGTTAACGTCGACCCATGCTCGGATCCAGGGAGGCCGGGGTCCAACTTCCTTGAAATTCCTTGAATATGATGCACCCCCCCCCCCACCCCCCACCCCCCTCGCTGTGACACCCCAAACATTAATACTTGTAAGAATATCAGCCTGTGCACAAAATACGGACAGATCCAGCTTGGTTAGGGGGTATTTGTACACTTTTCTGTAATACAGTGTTAATAATCGTCCGATTTGAACAGCGCCCCCATTGAAAGTATCGAACGAGCTCCCCCCCCCCCCCCTCCACCGACTCCTCCCCCCCCCCTCCCCCAACACACCTATTGATTTTCGGAGGCAAAGTGCCCGGAGAAAAAAAAACAGTACGTTTCAGCCCCTGCAACCTTGTTTATTACTAACCGCTCCCCCCCCCAAAAAAACAAAACAACAACAACAACAACAACAAAGAAGTGAACGTTTTCAATGACCTTGCATTCGGTTCAGAAAAAGACGGCCAATTCCGTCACCTGTACATTCATTTACGCAAGACAAAAGTATACCTTTTCGCGCAGAGTTCTGGAATACAATTTCGTGAATGTGCAATCGAAAGTACGTTTTCCGCATTAAAAATAGCACATTACGTCACAGAATTCCAAACCTGATACCAAAAAGTGAAATAGAATGGGGAATGTTTGAAATCGCCCTCTAAAAGCGAAATAGAAGTCTTGTAAACGAATCTGAATGGACATAAACGAAAGGTGCTGCTTAATCACTTAATTGATTGAACTGAAATGGAATCGAATGCTCTGGTAGCGAAAATGAAACGCGTGTTCAGAGCGATTCTCAAATTCTTACGTAAATGAATGACCGATTTTCAGAAGTGAATGAACATTTCAGGAAATTGGCCAGGAAAACCTATATTAATTTCATTACTAGAATGAACGATAATTTCGCATTTTGTTCGCGATATGAGAAGCGTAAAATTCAGTGCGGCATAGAAATGAATGATTAAGGAGAAATTTTATACAATGGCACCCTGGGGACTGAACAAAATGAAATCAGTTTTTTTTAGTTTATTAGGACACTAATCTTTGCAAACTATTATTTTTAATATTTAAATAAACAAAACTCTGTGTGTATTGAATGTTGGGTTGATTTTACCCGTTTTAACATTAACACGTGTCTGTGATTTGTCTTGTATGCAATTGTAACGTCTATCTTTAGGACACTGTAGACCTTCACAATTTTCATGAATGAGGAAAGTACATTTTGCTGTGTTCTGCAACTGGCGAAAAGTATCATCATTTATGATGGATTTGAGAATCAAAATAATGTACTACTACATGTACTGTATGCGTCACCTTGAATTGGATCGGACTATTACCCTACTTGTGTGTGTGTGGCAGTTCGTACACACCAAAGAGACCCTATTGTTGACAATCATTCGTCCATGAAGACAATCCAACAGTACCTGCTACATACCTTTTGCTGAACAGTTAAGGAACTCTTTTATTCATATGGAATCAAACACTTACTTTTCCTTAACGTCCTAGCATTTGCTAGTTTTTATGCACACGACCCAATGACTAATTGGGGAACCACCAACATAGGGCTGGATAGCTCAGTTGGTAGAGCACCGGAACGCTTTGACTTCGCAAGTTCAAGCCCCGCTCCAGTCAAGTTTGTTCAACTTTCCAATCGTTATAATTTACCTAGTCAGTTTCCTACCAGACCAGGTTTTTTACACGACCGAAAACGGGCGGGATCCACATGCAGTGTCCTATTTCCGAAAATGCCCGAAGTTTACCGAATACATTTCGTTGACAGTCGGATATGTTCGCAAAAGTTCTGGTCCCCGGGCGAAGAATGTCTCACACGCCTGTCATGCCTGTGGTTAGTTTAGAATATTTTCAGTTCATAATTCACTGCTTGCATTTAAAATTTCAATGCTGGGCGTACTACTTATGTTTTGTTTTATATGTTCATTTGACGCTCGACAGACGAAGTAGCATTGAAACCGAGGCTATCAGTGCTAAGCCATTGCAGGCATTGAGGACTTTCTCTTGTTTCAATCCTCTTAAAAAAAAAATACTCGAAGCCATCTTGAAAGGGGGCATGCGTAGCTTTACACATTTTGTAAACTGCGTTGGAACAACAAAGAAGCCAAGGTTGGTGATTATATGATACGCAAAGACTACACATTCGGCGTTTTGCAATTTTACAACAAACACCCGATGCTGTTGTTTGAGGAAGCAGACACGGCAAACACAAATCAGACAAACTCCTTTAGTACACCCGAATAGTCAGTTTCAAAGTTAGAGAAAAACATATCAAGTTGAGGGGGTTTACACTAAATGCGCATCTCTATTCATCGTATTTTAGTCTGTATAATACTACACCAAACGAAAAAAATAACATCATTTAAAAAGAAAAAAATTGAAGTGAACAAAACGTTAAATCGATTATCAATAAAGAAAATGCCCTTCACCTTTTTTAAATGTTCACTTTGACTGTGCAGTCATCTGTCAAAAAAAAAATGTTTCAACGACATTGTAACGATGGCAGATGATCTACTTAAAGGAATTTACAGCAGTAGACCTGTTGCCTTGAAGGAGGTCTTGGGGTGTTGGGAAAGTAAGGCTGTGCGGCGGCGTTGTTGAAGCACTCGCACATTGGGTAATCGTCGCATGGCATCATTCTAGCATCCCTCTCGGTGTCACTGGTCAGACCCCAACGCTCATCTCTGGCGCCCAATTCATACAGCTTCGCCAGCTGCTTCAGGCTACATAAGACGCCTCCATGACTCTCACAAAAGCCCTTGCCAACGTGATAATAGAGGTTCTTCGCCGACATGCACACCGAGTACACACTTGTGTCCTCATCTGAAGAATGCAAGGAATAGAAAAACTAAAGTTGTCACCGCATGGGTACGGGGGTTTGGTTTATTTGGGGATGTAACACAACAGTGCACACGTTAGCTATTAAGTAAATGGCACTTGTAATTCTGTTTAGCACACTTGTTAACCTATACCAAGTTTGAACTTTGTGCATTGTACTGTGGTCGATGCGGTCTAAATGTGCATGACTTTGGGAGACATGCGATTCGTGATCCAAAGAACGGATTATACCATCAACTTTAAGATCTGGTGCATAATTGAGGAATATATTCATGTTATTTGACACTGTTTCTGAAAAATGGACGGTTATCTTAGAAGGTGTTGTTTATGAGTAAGTATAACGCACAAAAGATGTCATTCATGCCTGACCATACAGGGTGCAACCCTGCAAAAAAAAGTCCCATAGACACTATAGTGCTAAATGCGCATACTCAGAACTCTCACGGGTATTCAAGCTGCACAGAAAAAAATGATGATCAATGTGTCATCTTTCATTTTCTTTTCATTTTTTGGTGGGTTGACCATTGACTTTTTCGAGATATTCTCACCCAAAGAAGACGACCCCTATTTTCCCCAAAGCGGAAAAGTAGCCATCTTGAAAAACAATCCCTCCACAACATGGCAAAATACCGCTACTTTCGAGCCCAGTAGCATCCAAAATGCTCAGAATTGGAAGCCCCAAGTCCGGGCCAGAGGTTCATCACCATATCTCTTCAATTCCCCAATTTTATGGGTCTCAAAACTCTCTAATAAGGGTATAACTTTTATTCATGAGCTCGGCGGACGAATTGTTGGCCTATTTACAGGCGTGCACCCATAAGCACTATCCTCCAAGATGGCCGCTACGCACAGGGTCTTTGCAACCAATATCGCCTGTGTGTGCTGCCCTCTATTGAAAACGCAGAGTCCAGGATGAGATAGTTATAAGGTGTTTATTTTCATGGAGTATGTAAAGAGCTTACTGTATGTTGTCCATTGCGGGCAGTTTTTGATCACGGCTTCAGTCTTCAAAGATGTCATGGCAAAAACGGCAAGGAAAACGATGACGGACTTCATCTGAGTGTAAAAATGTTATGCAGAATGGTGCATTAATGACAAGAGCAGGGACGGCGGAATGCTTTTCAAACCGGGGGACACACCAAAAAGGGGCACTTATCCAGAAAAAGGGGCACCTTCCGTCGGTGTGAAAGTAAGAGCCCTACGGCCTCCCCAATGGCGGATTCAGAACACTTTTTTTTGGGGGGGGGGGCAAACAATTGTGGTTCTGAAAAAAGTGGGTCCACAAATTCACGGCGAAGGGTTCGGGGCCCGCTTAAGGACTCCGAAAAAAAA